TGTGTGTGTGTGTGTGTGTGTGTGTGTGTGTGTGTGTGTGTGTGTGTGTATCTGTCTGTCTTCTGGAAGTAGGTTACTTTTACAACAGAGGCAAAAAGGAGATGATTAACTCCCTTTTACCATCAGTAAAGATATTTGCCTATCTTAATTCTAATCACTAGGGACAATGAACTATCTTTAGTATTCTACTCAGGGGTCATCTGATTTTCTTCACTATGTTGTGTTTCTGACATGGAAAATATAAGCAGATGGTAGTATACCTGGCATTTGGACTGATGACTTAAATCTTGAGATGAGATGCTTCTAAAGCAGGCCATGATGTCCTAGAGGAACCCAGGCAGAAATAAGAGCTTCATTTAACCTTCTTACCTCCAAAATCCCTTTCCTCCCTATGTAAGAATTCATAGGACTATATTGCTAGCCAAATAGCATTTGCAGAAACCTGAGAGCAAAATGGCAACTGTCAACCTCTTTGGGAGTCTAGAGGAACTTTAACACTAATGCTACATATCCATGTCATCTGCACAACTGCAGATGCCTTTTTCAAAGGCATGCCATGGAACTCTCAGGATTCAAAGCTAAGTATATAGACCAGAGCATCCTTCATTTCGCTTCCCTCATAAGTCTTTGATGTTTAGAGTGGAATCCAACAGATTCCCACTGTGGGAGACAGACTAAAACTGATAACAGTGTTCAGCTGGAAATTTTGTTGCCTCTGCATATTTCCAGGGTCCCTGGGGCTCCATTCTGTTGAGTGATAAGTTTTAGGTGCCTTCAAAACCAAGAAGTCTGGGTGCTGGTTGTACAAATGGCATTTCATGGACACTTACTGAGACATGAGATTCTGAGAACCTATGAAAGGCACAGACACAGGGAAATGGGGGTGGGAAGGAAGAAAAGGAAGGGCTTTTGGGAAAGGTAGGGACTGACATAGTGAGAACAGGGGGGAAGGAAGCTTTATGAAATGAGGGACATGCTACTCAAGATGAGAGATACCTGGTAGGCCTGCTACACAGAATCTTGCAATGAACCTCATTGGTTTCTGCTAAATGCAACATTCCAAAATACGGGTGCTGGTGGGGTAGAGATTTCCAGGGAATTTCCTGGTGGTTATCATTCTGAGGAATGAGAACTGAAAAATACAGCACTTAGCCTGAGTCTAGATAGGATGGGAACTCTGTGCCCTCCTTCTCCCTTTCCCTAGAGATGTAGTATCATGTTTGAAAAAAAAAAAAGGAAAATAAAAATCACACCTAATTTTGACACAATTGGATGATTATATTTTCATGCTGTTTCTTGGAAGTAATGTCAGAGTTGGACCTGTCTAAACTCTTGGAGGCTTTTCTATTGGCTGTTAGGGTTCTGCCAGTCCAGTTATGGGTCCTCAATATCAAGAAACTCCTGCTTGGGTGGTGCTGCCCCACGGTACCATGCACAGGAGCCATCACTCCTCTTGATACAGGCAAAATACTTTGCCTGATGCCCATAAATGATCTTCTCTGTGACCCAGTCCATCCACAGGCACTCATCTGGTGAAGATACATAACATGGGATCATGGGGCATCGAGAAATCTAGGGAGAAAATAAAAACAGGGTCACAAGACAGACCTAGGGGCAAAGACCAAATTAAGTGAAGAAGATTCTAGGATTTAAAGCTGTAAAAGACTATCTAGCCAAGATCTTTCATTCCATAGATAAAGAAAGAGTAGCCCAGAGAAATTTAAGTGATGCCCAAGGCCACACAAGAAGTAGAGGTCCCAGAATTGGGATTTTGAACTTATCTACTAGGACTAGATTTACTTGCTCTTCTTATCACACTGTTTTTAGATGGACTACCTCTTTTGAATCCATTTTGCAACCCAAAAGGAGGCAGTCTGGTCCAGGGGAGAAAGTCTGGAGCCAAGTGTCCACTATGCCATTGACTTGCAATATGACAAATACCTTGACTTTCTAAGCTTCATTGCCCTACTAGTGTGTTTGGAGCACATAAATACGGCCTGTCTCCCTTTCCAAATTCTCTGTTCCAGATTGATCATATTGGAAGAATGAAAAAGGGGAAAATATATTGAGTTTTGTGGAGACTAGCATTATACAAATGAAAAAGATTATTATAATCCAGTTTTGAGCCTAGGTGCTGGAAATTAGATGATGATCATCCTATTTATAGAGCAACTTGAGGCTATGCAAGGTAGTGAATACTTTCACCATGTCAAAAATCCAAAAAATCATGAAAGACTGAATTTTAATTATATGCTAGGTGATATATAACATTCTAAACTGTTCTTAAGAGTTAAAAGTTTAAATGTGGGACATTAACACTCTGCCTTTTTGAATTTCAAAAGGCTAAAGTGGGGGAGGGGATACATGAGGAAATATGAAAAGACCTTATGATCTTCTGAGCAAGGAAAAAAAATGGCTTGGGAAGCTACAGCTCATAAATTTAGTCCCAGCTCCCCCTGCGTCTGACTTACTGTCTGCCTAAAGTAGTTACCATTACTTTTTGTCACTCATTTTTGCTCCCAGTGGCATAGTGCCAGTATGAGAAAGGAAACCACAAGTCCAAGACTGGGAGAGGCTCTAGGATCCAAAGGATTTCTTCTAGGGACCCTCCATACCTGCTAAAATAATTGGGCAACTTAATACATTTACTGGAGAGTACTGCAAAAGTCCAGTCTGATGTTCTCAAGTGGAAAAAACTTTGCATTTAGAGACCAAAGACTGAGTTTGGATGTCAGGTTTGTTTTTTTTTTTGTTTGTTTGTTTGTTTTAAGTCAGGATTATGCCAAATGATTAGTTATCAAAGTGAAAACATCTCTCAGCTGATTTTGAAGAAGTCTCTTCCTCATGACAATATTTCAAACATCCTAGATCTACACATGCCTACAAGTGGAAGGGGCTTGAATGTTGGCAAGGGTCTAATACATGTGGCTCTGTTAGAAAAGGTACATATATGTGCTTATCTTTTTTAGCTGAAGTGCAAAAACATCCACAAGATTCACATTCTTCCTACTGAATTCCCTTCCAGGTCTCTTCCTTATCAGCTGCAGATCACATGGCCAGATCTGTCTACATTTGCTTATCCAAAGTTACTCCATTTCCCTTAAAAATGACCTGGCAAAGGTGAGCTTTGGAATCCTATAGCCATATTGTATTCCTTATGGCCATCATTTGCCACTACCCCACCATTTCTACCCCATGAAGTCCACTCCTTTCATAAAGCCTGGCCTTAGGAGCAGATTTGCTGAATTTAGATGAGTGATGCCATATAGCACAGGTGTGCACAGCATATCTCAAAAGGGTATACACCCAGAGCATTTTATTTTATTTTTTAAAAGGTGAACATTTACTGAGTAATCATAAAGTATATTATTTTTATTAATCAAACTGAAAAATAAAAGCTTAAACCTACTTTTAAAAAATTAACATCTAAACTTAAAATATACAAATGTTGCAATTTACTATTTTTTTTTTAAATAAAATTTTTATTTCTGGAGACTGGTTCTCCCTATCTCATCCAGGTGAGAAATATAGTAGCCATTCATGGGCCTGATTCCACCTATGATTGGCATAGAAACTTTAATTTACTTTGTTTATCTAACCTAGGTTGAATTAGCCTTCTTACCTCCTGGATTAGCCAGATTTCTCCCTTCCTCCCCCTCCCAGGGGCCTCACCATATTAGTACCCAATATTAGTGCAGACACCTAACTGGCTTAGCCCACTAAAGTTCAGAACTCCTAAACTAGTGATCTACCAGCCTCAGTTTCCTTGGTAGCAGGGACTACAGTTGTGCACTTCTATGACCAGTAAATTATTCCTTTTAATCAAACACTTTCCCTTATCCTAAAATACAGAACAACCTTCTTGGCTAAAAATGCATCTTTCCAACTGGATCCTGCCCCATTAGCCCCAACTCTGCTATCAAGGGTGATGATGGGATTTAAAGACTGGTTACCAGAAGTACAACCTTTAAAATTTATAATCTAACTTTAATACCTTTCTTGCCCATATCCATCAGATCCCTAGGGTCACACATGATGGGCTAAGCCATGGAAAACAAGGAGGAAGGCAGAAAGCTTGCCTGACTTAGAATGGAACTGGTTGCCATCAAGAAGAGGTAGTTTTAGGACAAATAAGGCAATGCCATAGAATGTGTCTAGGCATAAAAGGGCCCTGAATTTCGGGGCAATAAAATCACCATTTGTGAATGCCTCCCTGCGCTAGAGCCTAATGGAAGTTATGGAGGGTAATCAAGTGGGAACGAGAGGAAGGAAGTAGGAATAGCAGGAGTGGTTGTTGGAACCTGGAGTTACCAGAGATTGGGAAAACCAGCCACATCCTAAAAGGGCTCTCAAACCTAGGCAGCTTCACCAAAGTGAGAGGGCTGTGGCACATGAGGATGTACAGGTGCATACTTGACATAGTAAACCTGAATTCCACAGCACCATGGTAAACTGAAGGTTACCACGGAACCTCTGCTCTGATACTAAGAACTGGCTGATCAGTAGCCCTTGAATGATAGCAGAAATTATCTGCTTACTCCGCTTACCTTGCATTCACAACCCATCTGGTATCGCTGATTTAGACTCTTCTTCTGCGTGGTACTCAGGGTATCCCAGGGCTCGATGAAGTCACAGAGAGTAACATGCATTTTGCCGTTTCCTTCTGATTTTCCTGAAGAGATCCAAGAAAACAGTGAACTTGGCTTCTCTTTCTGCCCCACCCCTACCGCCCATCATTCATTGGCCTTTTGGCTTACTTAAGAGTGAGAGTTTAGTTTCACTGCTGGGTTTTCTAAAGTGAACAACACACTCTTGAGTGCAAACTTTAATTGAATCCAAAAATATTTAAAGCACCTCTACTCTGTGCAAGGCTCTAAAGTAACCACCAATCAATATTGGTCTACCTGAATTGAAATATAAAAGTGAATAAAAATGATCCCTGACCTCGTGAAACTTATTACTGGTTAGATAAATCTGCTGTGATTTCCCTGTCTAACTGGACATAGGTGAGTCCTAACAGTTTCTCACGATTTGCAGTGGCTTCCTGACAGCTCCCTTCTCTTTTTCTCTGCTAAAGACATCCAATGTCTTGGACAAACAGGAGAAAAAAAAACTGTATTCAGTGAATGACAGAATCTGATTTAAGGCAGGGTGGTCATTTTAAAAACTACTCTACTCACCCTTATTAAAATGATACCCTGTCAAAATGTCGAAATGCTAAGCAGCCAGAGTCTCTGACAGGCAGACTGAATAGAGAAGCTTTTCTATGAATGGAAGGATAGTGGCTTTCAATGTGGCATTTTCCCCTCACATTGTTATCTAAGCACAGCTTGCTTGACAGGATTTTAACAGACCAAACTTCAGTTATCTTAGGAGCAAATTTCATCTAGCAAAATCATGAATTGAAATTTAGAATAGCAAACAGTAGTGTAGCTGGTGAAAAGTATGCTGACATCACAAATGAATGAACAGTGGCCAGTCACCATGGGAGAGAAACCTTGGGTGCCTGAATTAAATAAAATCCTTTATGAATGAAAATCACTGTTTGAAGCAGTGCTCTCTTGGCATTTGGACTTCTTATACTTTGGTTTCTATTTTAATTGCTTGGCTTTCAAGGAACATTTTTATTTCATCTGGTTTCCCGTAGTAGTGTTTGGCCCTAACTGAAGGAGTCATTATCACTGTATGTTTTTTCTTGTATGTCTGAATATTTGGTGGAGTGATGAGAGAAGAAAAAAAAAGAAAGAAAAAAATCTGGTGCTTTAAAACACACACACACACACACACACACACACACACACACACACACACACCTGCACCACAGTGGATTTGGAGTTAGGAAGACATAAGTTCAAATCCCACCTCCAACATCCTTACTAGCAGCATGACCCTGGACAAATCATTTAACCTGTCTATGCCTCAGTTTCTTCCTCCATAAAATGGGGTTAGTAATAGCACCTAGCAGAGTTATTGTGAGTATCAAATGAGATAACAGTATATGGTGCTTTGCAAATTTTAAAGTACTATATACATAATAGTTATTATATATTAAAGGATATAAGATATCTTGTGCCCTCTGCCTGGATCAGTTATTTCTTAAAAAGAGGATCAAAAAAGAGCTGAAAGAAATGGAAGTGATGAATGATATATAACCTACCTGCTTGTCTTTATTTTTACAATTCTTTTCTTTATATAGACCTTCAAATCTCAGCTCTTCCTCCTACCCAATATAAAGAGGTCATTCATCAAGAATCTGTGCTTTCATTGGTTTGAGAACTCTGAAACCCTTCTGTGACTTAGAATCTTAGACAATTCCTTGATAGAGATGATGTGACTTGCCCACAGTCATCATATTAATAAATGTCAGGGGCAAGATTTGAACTTTGGACTTCAGGCCTCCAAGCTTGACATCCTACCCAGTACACTGACTCAAGTGAAAAAAATATCAGGCCTAATATTTCTCTAAATTCAATGAATTCTTGATTATGTAGGAGTTGATTTTCCAATCAATGCTTCTTTTCCCAAATTCATATAGCACTTTTACCTAGCATTCATTTTACAGGCTTAAATTGTTTTTAATCTCTTTATGCATTAAAAAAAAAAAAACAACCCTTCTCCCTGTCTAGAATACAGGTTCCTGGAGATCAGGGACTGAGTTCTTAGACCCTGTGATTCCCCCCTCTGCTAGCAAAGCATCCTTACATAGAGCAGGGCTCAATGGATAACTGTTCATCAGGATGATGAATATATTATCCAGTAACCTTATTTCTCATTTACTCATTCAGAAGAAAATATTAAGTCTGATAAATACAAGAACTTTGGAGATAGAGAGGTGAAAAAGATGCAGTTCCTGCCCTCAAGGAGTGTAAAGTTCAACAGGGAAATAACCCAAGCACAAATACTTACCTTCTTATCTGTATAAAGAGGACAGAGTACCATAGGTCAGTAGTCTCCAAAGTATGGAGTTTTTGACTCGATCTCAAGGGGGCAAGTGATTAATTAACCATTGCTATATATAGGCCTAAAGCTTAACTACCACAAAACTACACTCACCCTCATCCTCCACACTGCACCATTCTTCTACTTCCCTCCACTGTACAAGCTCCCAACCTCCCCTCTTCTGAACTGAGGATTGGTCTTCAAGGCAGAGCAGCTGTGCAGGAGGCAGTGGGCAAGTTCCAATCTCTCTCATCTCTCCAGCCTGTATCTACCTCATTCCTTCACTTGCAAGTTATGGTATCACCTTTCTGATATCATGGTCCTCTTCAAGAATAAAGGACAAACAACAACCTGTGAGGAGCTGCCCCACTGGGGACCAACTGGCCAGTTCCAGTTGTACAATGCAGTTTCCTTCCTTCCTTCCTTCCTTCCTTCCTTCCTTCCCTCCTCTCCCTCTGTCCACATAGGGTGCTACACCTTTACCTGTGGGTGCTCTACCCAAAGGAATACAAATTTTGATCACTGAAACTTTGCAAGATATCTTGGGGTTTATGGGCTAGATTTATTTTTTTAATCAATTAATTTATTTTAGGTTTCAACAATCACTTTCACAAGATTTTGAGTTCCAAATTTTCTCCCCATCTCTCCCCTCCCCTCACCCCAAGACAGCATGCATTCTGAATACCCCTTCCCCCAATCTGCCCTCCCTTTTATCATCCCCCCTTTCTCTTATCCCCTTCTATTTTCCTGTAGGGCAGGATAAATTTCTATACCTCATTGCCTGTACATCTTATTTCCCAGTTGCAGGTAAAAACAATTTTTAATATTCATTTTAAAAACTTTTTGAGTTCCAAATTCTCTCCCTTCCTCCCGCCCCACCCACCCTCATTGAGAAGGCAAGCAATTTGATATAGGTTAATACATGTGTAGTCATGCAAAACACTTCCATAACAGTCATGTTGCGAAAGACTAACTATATTTCCCTCCATCCTATCCTGTCCCCAATTTATTCTATTCTCTCTTTTGACCATGTCCCTCCTCAAAAGTGTTTGCTTCTGATTATCCCCTCTCCCAATCTGCCCTCCCTTCTATCATCTCCTTCCCCCCTATTTTCCTGTAGGGTAAGATAAGATTTCTGTACCCAATTGAGTGCATATGTTATTCCCCCCTTAAGCCAAATCTGATGAGAGTAAGATTGACTCATTCCCTCTTACCTCCTTCCTCTTTCTCTCCACTGTAAAAGTTTTTTTCTTGCCTCTTTTATGTGAGATAATTTACCCCATTCTACCTCTCCCTTTCTCCTCCCAGTACAATCCTCTCACCCCTTAATTTTATTTTATATATATTATCCCTTCATATTCAACTCACCCTGTACCCTCTGTCTATATGTGTATATATCTATATATATATCTATATAAATATATATATATATATATATATATATATATATAAATATATTTCCTCCAGCTACCCTAATACTAAGGTCTCATGAGTTACAAATATCATCTTACCATGTGGGAATATATACAGTTCAACTTTAATAAGTCCGTTATGATTTCTCTTTCCTAATTACCTTTTCACTTTTTTTGGGGGGGTTGTGAGGCAATCTGGGTTAAGTGACTTGTCCAGGGTCACATAGCTATTAAGTGTCAAGTGTCTGAGGGCGGATTTGAACTCAGGTCCTCCTGACTACAAGGTCGGAGCTCTATCCACTGCACCACCTAGCTGCCCCCGACCTGTTTACCTTTTCATGCTTCCCTTGAGTCTTGTACTTGAAAATCAAGTTTTCTATTCAGCTCTGGTCTTTTCATCAAGAATGCTTGAAAGTCCTCTATTTCATTGGATGTCTATTTTTTCCCCTGGAGGATTATACTCAGCTTTGCTGGGGAGGTGATTCTTGATTTTATTCCTAGCTCCTTTGACCCCCAGAACCTCGGAATATGATATTCCAAGCCCTCTGATCCCTTAATGTAGAAGCTGCTAAATCTTGTGTTATCCTGATTGTGTTTCCACAATTCTTGAATTGTTTCTTTCTGGCTGCTTGCAATATTTTCTCCTTGACCTGGGAACTCTGGAATTTGGCTATAATATTCCTAGGAGTTTTCCTTTGGGGATCTCTTTCAGGAGGTAATCAGTGGCAGGCAAACCTGGAATAGGCCTCAGGGAACTGAATCATTGGTTGCTGTGGTGGTTTCCAGACTTCTTAATCCTTAAATGCCAAAGACAACTTAGAAGGTCAGTAGGAAAGGTCTGTTAGACCCAGGTGAGAGAGGAATGTGGTCTGGCCTGAGCTTTGGTGCAGCCCTGATGGCGGCTGCTTCTGGAGCTCTCAGCCCACAGATGGTGTGAGGATTGAGCAGCTAATCAGAGAGAGATTGCAGAGATGTCTTTGCTGGCAGCAAAGCAGGATTCTTGTGCTTTGCCCGTGCTTGGATCTGGGTCACAGTCCTGGGTGGCAGTCCTGGCAAGAGTTGGAGCACTGGCATGGTGGAGCTTGTGGCAGCAGTGGAGAGGGAATCCTCCTCACAGTTCCAAGGCAGAAAAGAGTGCTTGTGGTCACTCATAGACCACAGCACAGGCCAGTAAAGGAATAAACACCTCTCTTTTGATTATACCACCTTTGAAGAACTGAAAATCTACAGGTCTCTAGAAGTATCTCTGAAAACAGCTGTACAAATCTCCTAAAGCTTGGGACAGTACACCCTCCACAATGGAAGCAGACCACTATCTTAA